AAATCTTTGTAATGCATAGCAGACACACTAATCATTATTACAGTGTTCAGTAATAAGTTTTACAATTGAGACTTTCCTATGTGACACTGTCCACTGTGACATTCAGGAAAGAGAGTAAATACGACAGCCACTGCACTCGTAAGTGTGCCTGCCAGGGGTGCTGCCCAAAAGCGCTTAGTAAAAACCTGATCACAACAATTGATAGAAGTAGAAGTGGGATACAAGTGCTTAGTCAAGCATGGTTGCTACGTCAGACGAGTGCTACAAGGGCTGAATACAGTGGAATATGCAAATATATAGCTAATAATTAAACATATGCAGTACCAGGGTAATATAGAACACACCGATATGATACCGACAATAATTTAATCTTTTCAATGTCATTCCCTCGTAATTATCAAGAAAGAGTCAATAAAAAGTTTCAAGCTATCTCACCTTTTGAATGAGACTAAATAAATGTTCCAATTGTTGACCACTAAACTTGACAGCGGCGGCCGCCATTATGGAATGAATATTGTCGATCACCGTGGCGTTCTGACCATTCTGTGAAAACAGACAGTATGAATGATTGTCAAAATATTAAATTTTAAAATGATGTCAAGAGCTGTATATTCAGCCAGAAAATGGGAAAAATGAAAAAAAAAAACTGTTCAGCATGTAAGGCATGTAACTGTACAATGGGATTTTTGTTTTTTAAAAAAAATAATTCCGCTACAAGGGAATTCTCATAGCTGAGATCACATTTCCCATGCTTATATCCCAGTACATTGCCATTTAGTGAGAAAAAAAACTCACTACTAACTATTATTCTTACCTGCATTCTCCAGATTTTGGTGAGTTCATCAAGCAATAGCCGTGATCCTAAAAACTCAACGATACCTTTGATTTTATCACAGTATTGAGACTGGTCAATGTTACCTATGGTGTTGAACAATAATTAAGAATCCTGTCAATAAATGTAAATGATCGAGTAGACGCAAATCTTGAAAACTGTCATTCACTATTGCAAAGATGTACAACAATGAAAATGGCTTGAGGATACCGCAAAGTATGTAATCAGACAGTGCAGAATTGTATTGACTCTGTATGTGTTGGTTGATATAATTGCTGTACTAACAGTACTTCCTTGTATACTTGTAATATCTTCATTGTATTTAGAAATCCACCCTTTTGATTCAGATTTTCTTCCTAATTTTCGTGCACTTGTTTGATAAAACTGCTGGATAGAAGGACCTCAAACCTTGCATACTGATAGGGGTTAATGTGAACTCAAGCAACTGACTTTCTATTGGTCAAATATTTCATCAGCCTACTTGAAGTAGCCATTTTAAACCTTTTCTGAAGGTTCTAAGCAATCTTGAATTGTTGTTCTATTTTAGATTGAAACAAAAAGAACTTGAAATGCGTGTGAAAGTATATTGTGGTCAAAATGAAAATAATTTCCCAGCAGTAAAAAAATCTTCATTTTTGAAATTTGAAAAATATAGAAGATCATTTTGTAAAAGGCTACAAGTGAGCTCACCTTCTAAGGCAATGGACAATATTTTGTTATCGACTAACCAATCCAAGATCTTCTCTGAAGGGATGGCATTCTTAACGGCTCTCGTTGCAGATGAGTCGTCAATCAATTTAGTGACCTGCAACACATGAGGGTGGCATTAAACTCTTGAAACAACAAAAATGCTTTTGTTGTACACTGAATCATAACATATTACTTATTATAAACACCCATGTAACATACATAAGCACATGTGCTACTAATAGGGTAAATATGGTAATTTTTATTTTGTAATACTCTTCAAGACAAAAAGAGTGACAGCATTGCATGGAGACTGGCCAAAAGGTGCTCAGAAATTGGCCAATAGGATGACAGTGTTGCACAGAGACTGGCCAATAGGATGGCAGCACTATACAGAGACTGGCCAATAGGATGGCAGCATTATATAGAGACTGGCCAATAGGATGACAGCATTGCAAGAAGACTGGCCGATAGGATGGCAGCATTGCAAGTAGACTGGCCAATAGGATGGCAGCATTATACAGAGACTGGCCAATAGGATGGC